AAACACTACAGTGGTACCTCGACTTAAGAACTTAATTCGTATCGGGACTGCGCTCTTAAGTCGAAACATTCTTAAGTCGAAGCACCATTTCCCATAGGAATGCATTGAAAACCATTTAATCTGTATCTGCTGTTTTTCCTTCTTAAGTTGAGGCGCTGTTCTTAATTTGAAGCATTAGTTCCCGTAGGAACTAATGCAAAGCTGGTTAATCCGTATCTACCATTAGGGGGCAAATTTTTCTTCTTCTTTTGACTTAAGGTGAACTTAGGTCAAAAAGGGGCAGGAAAGGATTTTTTTTGGGGGGGGGTTCTTAAGTTGAGGCTCTGTTCTCAAATCGAAGCAACTTTTTGCGAATGGAGCCGTTCTTAACTCGAATCGTTCTTATGTAGGAGCGTTCTCAAGTCGAGGTACCACTGTATTTCTTGAGCCTAATTGTGAACTGGATTTTTTTTGTTTTGCATAATCAAAACTAATATACTAAGCTTCCCCCTTCCATGAACTGGGAAGAAACAGAGCCTTTCCAGAACCAGTTAAGCCATGTATCAAACAACAGATGTTGAGATAATGACATTGTTAGCTGCCCAGAGTAGACATGTGTCTAGATGGGTGAGGTATACATTTAATAAATAAAATAAATAAATAAAATGAGACCTATCTTAAAACTACAGAAAGTGGCAGCGCAGTGTGAAATATGGGAGAATTCTGGCAAAGAAAATGTTGCTTCCACAAGTGGCAAAAGCTTACCTGAGAACTTCAGTAGCAAAGTGGGCCTTCTAATGGATAGTCAATATATGAAGGGCCAAATCATGGAGGCTTGCCTTTGACGCTATTGTGCGATCTCTGTCAAGAAGTTGTAGGAGCGTGAGGGACATTGAATGAAGAACGAGATAATAGAGATGTGAATTAAGATAGCTATTTTTTTTTTTCAGGAATCTGAAGTAGTGGGGGCTTGTGCCTTTCAGTTTCACAGGGACAGTGAATCCTCTCAGAGTTTCAGTCCAAAATTTACAGGAGTCAAGATACCCAAACTATCCTCAAAAATAGGTTCAGGATCTTCAACAGCTCCATGAGAGGTGTTATGGCTGACCTGGCTGGCGCTCCTGTTGAGGCTCTGGTTGACGACTGGTTTGCCGCTGCGGCTAGGGCTGTAGACACGATTGCACCTAAACGCCCTCTCCAACGCAGAGCCCACCCAGCGCCCTGGTTTAACCAAGATCTCTGGGCGTTGAAGCGGTTTAGGAGATGGCTAGAGCGCAAGTGGAGAAAGGACCTGACGGATTATAATTGGATAGCTGTCAAGGTTGCTACTAACCTTTACCTGACTAAGGTAAAGGTTGCCAGTCGAGCATACTTCGCTAACCGGATCAGTGAAGCGCCCAACCAGCAGTGGAACTATTCCGTATAGTACGCGACCTATCCGGAATTGGTCTGAGTGATGGGCCTCCCCCTAGTTTTTCACCGGACCGATTTGCAGCATTTTAAAAATCTAAAGTGGAAGCCATCCGCCGGGACTTCTCTCCTTTTTTGAACACAGTAAGTCGAGCAGAGATGTCCAGCGCTCCGTCTTGCCCGGTAACCCTTGACTCCTTTCAGCCTGTCACGCCTGATTCTGTGGCCAAGGTGCTTGATCGCTGCCGTGCCACCACCTCCTCCCTTGACCCTTGCCCGGCCTGGCTAATCAAAGCAGCCAGGCCTACAACAACTGAATGGGCCACTGTCATAATCAACGGGTCTTTCCTTGGGGGCAGGTTTCCATCTGCCCTCAAGGAGACACTCATTAGGCCCATTAGGAAGAAACCCAGTTTGGTGGTGGATGAAATTGGCAACTATAGGCCCGTCACCAATGCTTCTTTCTTAAGCAAAGTGGTCGAGGGTGGTGGCCAACCAGCTCCAGGCGCACTTGGATGAAACGGATGCCCTGGATCCATTTCAGTCAGGCTTCAGGCTGCACCATGGTGCAGAAACGGCATTGGTTGCCCTGTGTGATGACCTGTTGAGGGAGGCTGACAGGGGCAAAGTGTTTCTGCTGGTCCTCCTCGACATCTCAGAGGCCTTTGATACCATTGACCATGGTATCCTCCTGGGGAGGCTCTCTGAGCTGGGAATTGGTGGCCTGGCACTGGCCTGGCTCCATTCCTTCTTGAGGACCGCCCCCAGAGAGTACAGCTTGGGGAGAGTGTTTCAGCCCTGTGGAGTCTCAATTGTGGGGTTCCACAGGGGTCGATTATCTCCCCAATGCTGTTTAACATGAGACCGCTGGGCGGGGTCATCAGGGGGTGTGGAGCATCGTGTCATCACCAGCCTCCACAGTTTTAGATGCGTCATAAATTAATGGCTGATCCATCAATGACTCTGTTGGTTTGAACCCACACTCTTCGTCTCAGTCAATTATCACTATGTGGCCGATATACGGTATATTAGTTTCCTGTATACCTATATTGAAAGGGATCTACAGAGGCACTGATTCCAAGGATATCTCAGCACTCATTATTGAAGTGGTAGGAATCGCAGATAGCATGCAGTCCAGTGCCACATTTCTGATTCCTTAAGCGTTCTTAAGAATGCTTTATGTTATAGCTGCACTAGAATACAGAAATATGAGGAATAAATAAGATAATTTCCCTTTTTGTTGTTTTCTCAAGGAGATATTTGCTATGCGTTTTGAAAGAACTACTCTAAGCTATTGGTAAAGATAGCCATAATATTAGCTTAATTAAAAAGGGCAAGATGCAAATATGTGTTAATAGACATCAAACACTTTCAGAAGTGATATGAGAAACACTATTTTCTTTGCTAATGTGTCTGCTTTGAACTTGCTAATATGGTTGTCACAGTATCTAATGTGAGAAAGGCTTTGTTTTAAATTCAAATAAAAGTTCCTGTATATTTGACTATTTAATCTGAAGGATCTGACAGATTCATATTGTTCCCTTTCTGTGAATGGATATGGCTTAAGCAGAAGCATTAGTGTAATTGCTGAATATGAAACATCTGATCTCCCTGGCCAGCTGGCCTCCCGGAAGATAAATGGAGAGGGAGGGCAGAAAGAGGAGTGTTATAGGGCTCTTTTGCAAGTGTTCTGTTCTGGTGATGACTCTGGTGGAGAATTCATCTCCAGGCAGGGTGTGCTTCTACTTTCTTTGATTTAAGTCTCCATCTGTAGTTACCCTGTGCTGAGGCGAAGAAGCTGTCCTTTTTGAAGGACGTGCATGACTCCTCATTGTGTTACTGGATCTAGGCTTCACCTGACTCTGTAGCTACCAATATATCATTTTCTTAGGCTCTTATGCAGCTCACTCCAGTGAATGCGCTATTGTGTTCCTTTAGGGCTTTAGTCAATATAAAATGATCTCTTACTACAACCTTGGGCCTAATATGTAGAAGTAATTCTGTGTCCTTTTGGGGGTCATTTTTATGAGGAAAAACAAATAAATACTTTTGATGAACAAAGGAACAAATAAATGTTAGGCATTAAAACAACCTGTTTGATATACTAACAGATATACTGGGATCAACTATGTGTCTCACCAGATAATGAATTCCATAGTTGGGGAGGGTACAGCACTGTAAAGGCCCTCTTAGGGGCCGTCACCAGGTCCTTCTCAGCATTGTTCAAGTTCTTTATTGAGATGGTATTCAAAGGAGCGCTGAGATTATGATCTCAAAGTATGAGTAGGTTCACAGTGGGAGTGTGGCACCATCAGGTACTGAATTCTGAGATATATATGACTGAACATGTTAAAACTATCAACCTGAAATATGTACTGAGAATCAATACTAGAGGGCTCATATGATACAATGTATGTTTCTACCTTTTGACCCCATCTATCAGTCTGCCTGCTACATTTTGTAACAGTGTCTATTGCTAAACTGTCTTCAAAAATAGTTTCATGTAGAAACCATTGCAGTAGTCTAACCTGGAGATTACCAGAACAGAAATGGTTGATGTCAGTTTTACCCATCCATCAGGCACCACCAGCATAAAAATGTTAGGAGGCATTCTGCTCTGCTTTATTACATTTGTTAGCTGCTTTGGGGGTGTGCATATGGCAATTTGAAGTTCAAATGCACTGTTCTAGTAGTTATATAAACATCCAAATGGTGATACAATAGCAGATCCATTAGAACAATATTCTGACTGGAATGTTCTTATAAAATGATATTAATCAGAGCTAATATCATGGTTGTTGTGGGTTTTTCTGGCTCTTTGGCTGTGTACTGAAGGTTGTTTTGTCAGTCTCTGTGACCAGCATCTTCAGAGGACAGGAGTAGCACTCTGTGTTCTGGTGCGGTTTGTTTGGGAGTTTTTATTA